GACAGCCGCAGCCGCACGCACACGGTACTGGGCGTACTGGTCACGGTACAAGACGCTGGCATCGACGTTGGCGGGCGAGTTGATCTCGGGGTTGTCCAGCAACAGCAAGATGGAGAGCATGACGGACTCGACGCCTTGGAGCGGTGACCAACGCTCGCCGGCCTGCTCCCCGGACATGATGTCGTCGCCGGGGTTGTGGAGGATGGAGATACAAAGGCGGCCGTCGGGATACACGTTGGGGTGGAAGATAGTCGGCGTGAAGCGGAAGACGGGGGGTTTGTAGGGATAGTCGGTCGAGAAGCGGATCTCGCCCTGGAGTCACATCGTCACATTAGCATTCTGCACTTGTCGCAGAATTCACCTGGGTCTCTCGCTTGTATCTCAGCCGTCTTGGCCAGCCGCAGCATTCCAACTTACATTGAAGTAGCCACCGTAGAAGACGCTATCCGGGTTGATGATCATCAGACTGACACGCCACCGGAAGAGGTCATCGGCCTGAGGGGTGGATTAGGCGTTAGCGAGCAAATCCGTCGCGTGCTCGATGGGATGCCCCATCGGTGAAGAGTCGGTGGCCTTTCAGCGACAAACCTCAATGTTCAGCCATTTCTCTTTTTGCAGAGCATTCAGCTCAGACATTAACCGTTGCTTGGCGCCACTCATGGTTGTTGTAGATAGAGGGTAATCGGGATTGAGGGAGTCGTGAGTGTTGGCAGACTTTTGCTGGTGATGTCGAGATAATCGAGTGCGATGGCGGAGGCGGTTAGGAGATGGGGCCGTATTTGAACTTCGAGTGAGTCCGGGCGGTTGGGAGAGGAGAAGAGGAGAGGTTGGAGGCAGCAGAATAAAAAAGGAAGGACGTAAAAGGAAAGCAGGCAGGAAAGATAAAAGACAAAAAAGGATCGAAAATTGGAAAGTCGGAAAGTAGCATGCGAATTGTCTGATTAGAAAGAGGAAAAGGAAGGGGACGAAAGAAAATGCCTTGCCTGGCGGCAGGCGACAATGAAAGAGAGGCCAAGGGATTCTGGGCGCTTCCTCCTGGGGTCAAGAGTCACGGGGAAGGCGAGGAGGGATACGGCATGAGGGGTTGACACGCGAGCCAGACGAGTCTGAACGAGTCTGTGGGGCCACTTAAGCGGTACTGAAAGATACGTTTTACCATGCCGTAATTTTACCACAAGTTAAGTAACTATCAGTACTTGCTGACTTCGCGTATTACCAGGGTGAATAACGGCCATACAACACACATACAATTGAAGCTCGTTCGAATCCATGTCAACGCGGACAAACACAAATAGCGAGTGCGACATGTGACGTGAGGGGAAAAAAGTTTTGGTGGAAGAACATATAAGGATAGAGTATTAAAGTTTTTCTGTTTTAATTTTTTTCTTTCGTTTCCTCATATTGAGTTTTATTTTTATTTTATTTATTTTATTTTATTATTTACAAAAGTAAATTGCATATGCATATGCATATGCTTATGCTCCTGATTTTGAATGTAGTTTTTAAAATTTTAACAAATAAATGGCTACACATGATTAAAACTGTTAAACCGGACACCCGGCGCCAGCAAAAACCAACAAAATGGGAGACCAATAACGGACAACATCGTCGATATCAAAAATAAATGCGATTTAATGCATTGATGTGATAGTTGCAGCATCCGATTCATCAAGGTACGGAGTGCCACGGTTAAACGATCCAGCGTGTACGTTTGTAGCAATATATCGACCCACAAGTAGCCAAGTAGTTTTCTTTTTTCATTGTGTCTGTGAAGTTCCGAACGGCGACTCGGGCGACGAAAAAAAAAGTGAACGCTACAATGGAGAATGACGTCGTGCCGGAGTTGCCATTGTTTGAGGTGCGCTTAGTGCACACCACTGCCGAGCAATGCGCCATCGGCCGCAGTTTTGTTCGCTCTTAGCCCCACCAGGCGGAGCTCTTTGCGTGCTCTTTATAAATGCCTTCTGCCATTTGCATTGATTGGGAGTCAAAACCAAACGAAGCCAATTAACACATTCAATAAGCCGCATTTTAACCTTTTTCCATTCAATTAAAATGTCCGACAAACACGTACTCGTTACAGGCGCCTCGGGACTGCTCGGCCGCCAGGTGGTCCGCGCCTTTGGAGATGACGGCTGGACCGTGACCGGCACGGCCTTCTCGCGCGCCAACGGCACAACTCTCCGCAAGGTCGATCTGGAGGACGCGAGCGCCGTCGAAGCTGTGCTTGAGAGCGTCACGCCCTCGGTGGTCGTCCACTGCGCCGCCAACCGGTTCCCGGACAAGGTCGACAAGGACCCGCAGGGCACGAAGCGACTCAACATCGACGCGTCCAAGTCGCTGGCGTCGCTGTGTGCTGCCCGCAACATTGTGCTCATCTACATCTCGACCGACTACGTCTTCCCCGGCACCAAGGGCGAGGCACCTTACGAAGCGGATACGACGCCGTCGCCGCCCAACCTGTACGGCGAGAGCAAGCTGGACGGGGAGAAGGCTGTGCTGGGCGTCTACAGCGAGAGCAAGGACACCACGGGCCGTGCCGTAGTCCTGAGAGTACCGGTACTCTACGGCCAGGCCGAGAAGCCATCCGAGAGCGCCGTCAATACCCTGCTAGATACCGTCAATAAGGTGCAAGCGCCGGACGCCTCGGCCAAGATGGACCACTGGTCCATCCGCTACCCGACCAACACGGAGGACGTTGCGCGTGTTCTTAAAGGTAAGATATGATTATCATTCCCACACTTTGTGTCTGATAGACCCGAAGTGCTAATACGGATAGACGTTGCCAAAAAGTACCGCAGCGCCGATCCTTCCACAACCCTCCCCCCTGTCCTCCAATTTTCGAGCGAGGATCGCTACACCAAGTACGAGATCTGCCAGCTGCTTGCTGAGGTCCTTGGCGTTGGTCTCGACCGACTTGAGGCCGACCCGACTGGCGGCAATGTGCCAGGCGGCGTGCAGCGGCCGTACGACTGCCACCTCAGCACCAAGGCGTTGCAAGACCTGGGCATCCCGGTGCATACACAGAACTTCAAGGACTGGTGGCGCCGCGAGTTGAAGGCATTCCGGCATTAAGTTGTCGACGGTGGCGTGAGAACGAACGGACGTTGGAGTATCAAGACGAAGGAAGGTTGCTTTGAGCACGGCATGCGCCGAAGTCCTCAGTTCTGTTTTGGGGAACGGGATCGCCTGGCTAGCTGGGTTATTTACTGACTGAGGGAAACCCAGCTCGACATGGTTTCTGTAAAACGTGTTTCAAAGTTTTCTATTGGGGCCGGCCACCCACCCCTGGTCCGCTGGGCTGGAGCGACTGGATGGGCTGGCTGAAAGGCAACCAAATAGATCCCAGCTACGCTAGCTCCTAGATACGGAGTAAACAGCCCGGGGTTTGCCCACTCGGTTGGGGCCAAGTGTAACGGGTAAAACTTGAGCACACTCTGATCAACTTCTGTTTTCCATCCATTGTTCGCTGCCTATTGGTTGTTTCACTGTTATTTCCTTTTTTTTTTTTTTTTTTTTTTTTTTTTTTTTTTTAAAGAGGACTCACGGGTCGAGAAACTCATAGCGAGAATGCTGCAGTTCATGATCTTTTGTCTTTCGTCGGTTCTATCCACCCCTCTCCTTTCCTTTCCCTTTATGCAGATAACCGTGCCTCGTGCGTTGTTCTTTGCATCGTACCGCCTTTGTGTGCCGTACCAATCTCGTTGTGCATTCGTTGCCAAGCAAGATTGTTAAGTTGAACATTCTCCTCATCGTAATGTGTAGAGGCAAGAGCTTGGCGGTAATAAGATACCTTCTAGGCAGAGGTCCTTCTTCGCAACAAAAGACAGGCACACTGCCTTCCAAGCCACGCACTAACACGCGTAGAAACCCAACATTAGGACAAGGAATGCCCGTTCGTAGCGTGCATCCGAATCTATGACGGGGTACATCTAATTGACCGCGACAGGGCGCCTCGCCCAAGGCTTTCTTGTACGAAGTAGGTACGGCCAGCCATTGTTAACTTTTCAGCTCTTCTTTCCTTGGCTCATTTCTTCCTTCCCTTTTCGTGTTTGCTCATTCGCTACGTTCATATGATGAGCAGCAATGTTCGTCCACCATTCGGAGTGAGAAAGGACCGTCCGAAATAAATTGCAGCCGTTCCTGGACCGGTTCTTGCCCTAGAGCCTAGAGAAGGGGCAAACGGTCAAGCTAATTAAGAGTCAGGTACCATCCAAGACCAGACGAAAAACACCCCAAAATGGAAAGGGCGTAATACGCAAAATCCGAGACTTTTATCCACAACGTCGATGATGCCTCGTCCCCAAATAAGGTTGGTCTTAATATACCTTGCGCAGGATCGTCTCGTTTTGCTATTTTCTTTAGTTCTTTTTCACCTTCATGCATCTTGGCTGGGCTTTCCTTTCCGCTTTCCATCTCATTGTCATTTCGTATCCTCTCGTCCTACACCTCCCCTTGCTTTCTTTTTCCTATGCTGCCTCGTCTCGCTCTTCTCTCATCTCACCCGCCAAGGGATTGCCGCGCCGCCCTCCCGTCTTGCGCGCCTCTTTCGTCCAGTCCCACTCGTCTCACCCGGGTCGTATTTACATCTTTTCGCCTGCCTATGTTCTTACCGAGAATGGGCTTCATCTAGCTGACGCCGTCTCTCCGCATTGATCGCATTCCAGTGCCGCTGTTCCACGCAGCCGACAACACGAAAAAAAACACACCTTGAATACGAAAAAGGTCAAAAATTGAAATCAGCTGTACGCGAGCACACGAGTAAACGCCAACAAACGCGCAAGTTGACGGACTGCAGCCGAAACTTCTGTCACGCGATCGACTAACGTTCCTTCCCTTTGTCCGCAACTTTCGTATGCGCCTGCCCTGTGATGCAAGCTCGCTGTTTCTGCCCTTGCCACATTCCTCCCTGACTGCTTTTCTCCGTGTTTTCTTTCTTTCGTTCTCCTCGGCGCTCTCTTTGCCTCGTCTCACCACGGGTCCTGTGCCGTCCTTTTACCATGTCGGCGGCCACAGAACCTGCGCCGCCGCTGAAGCCGTCACGGTATCGGGCTATCCGGGGCAAAAATGTGCCCGAGTCGCGCAGATTCGTCGAACCGACAACAACGACAAACTCCAGCGTCGTCTCCGTCTCTCACAGCAATGACGCGCAACGGCTGCCAATTCCGACCCTGACAAACGGGAATGGTGAAGCCGGTGTGAACGGTGGCATGAACAAGGCTGACGCTGTGGGACATGCGCCACTAGAGCCACCACCGTCTCAGCAACAACAACAGTCGCCGGGGAGCACAGCTACGATGTCTGTTGCCCCTTCAGCATCCCCTGGAGAACGCTCACGATACCGCACTACCCAGCAGCGCCCATCTCGTCTGGACACCTCTTTACCTGCACCGGTGCCTGCAGCACCTGAGCCCATGTCTGCATCTGCAGCTGTGCCTACCCTTGTGCCACTGCCGTCAGCAAGGGCCCGCGGCATGCTCTCTGGCGCTGACCAACACGAGGTGCTGCTCGCCGACGGCGTGACTTTGGAGGTGGACGAGGTTGCACGACGCGAAGCAGAGGCCGAGCGCTTGCTGGCTGAACAAAAGAGAAAGGACCTGGAACGTCTCGAGCGCGAGCTGGAAAACCACCAGTCCGCCGCCTCCAACCTGCCGCCCAAAAGCCCTTCGCGGGACAAGCTCTCCTTCTTGACCCGTCGACGTGGGATCTCTTCTGCTGCACCTGCGACGCCTACCGCCACGACGTTTACCACGTCCAACGAACCGCTGCCTTACTCACCCGAAGGTCCCAATGGGGCATCTTCCTCGCGCCCGACAACAACCTACAGCAGCGGGCGCGACCATAGCGGCTCCGAGCCTCCTCCTCACTCCAGCACCGCCACCACTGCGACATCCGCATCACCCACTGCGGTCCCGCAGCAAATGGATGCACCGTCCTCCGCCCCTGGAAGTGGAGCGAATAAGGTAAGTAGTTCTGTCCGTTCTTCTGATTTTTCTGTGATGAGCGACAGCTAACACGGGCAGCACATCATTGTCCGTTGCCGGCAGTTCTCTGTCAACGTGCCCATCACACCAGAATCGACCGTGGGCGACGCTCTTGACGTTGCGACGGAGCTCCTGCCCCGTGCAATCAATTTGAACGGCTGTGCACTGGTTGAAAGCTACACGCGCCTCGGCCTTGAACGGCGCTTGCGGCGGTACGAGCGCATCAAAGATATTATGGGTTCGTGGGATACTGACAACGACAACGCGTTTGTTGTGATGCTGTCAGAAGCGAGCGGTGCTGCGATGGCGGCATCCGCCGGCGGGCAATCGCCCAAGGAAAAGAAGGGTCTCTTTTCAAAGAGCAGCTCGCACCATGAGGACATTGGAGCAATCACCAGCAGCAACAGTGTTGGCCGCAATGGCCACACTAGCGACCTCGAACTTTCTTCTGTTTCGCGGAGCCGTTCGTCTCGACCGCCAGGTTTTGTGTTTATGAGCATGTACCATTCCCAGAAGCCAGGCCGCTGGAACAAGCGCTTCATCACGCTTGTCGAAGAGACGGGGCAGATGGTGGCGTCGAAAAAGGCCGACGAGAGCCGGCTTGCCTTTTTGGCCAGCGAGACCAGCAACCGCTCGGGCAACAGCAACAACAACAACAGCGACTTCCAAAACCTCTGCCATCTTAGCGACTACGACATCTACACTCCGACCGAGGCACAGATGCGTAAGAATCTACGGCCTCCCAAGACCTACTGCTTTGCCGTCAAGAGCCAGCAGCGCACGACGGTGTTCCTCAACACGGACAACTACGTCCACTTTTTCTCGACCGACGATGCCGTGCAAGCCCGCATGTTTTACGACCGTGTGTTTGGGTGGCGCAGCTGGTATCTGGTCAACCGCCACCTATCACTACCTGATCGCAACGCCGCTTCCAAAAAGAAGAAGCAAGAAGATGAGCAGCAGCAACGCTCCACCGGTCAAGCTGCTGCTCAAATGCCACCGTCCTCATCCGCTACTTTACGGAAGAACACGCTGCAGCGATCCCTGAGCCGCAGATCGGCAAGCAACGCTGCACCGATCGATAGCCATGCTCGGTTCTCGACTGTCGGCTCACTGTTTGGCGGCATTGGCGACTTTGACCCGACCCTTGATCTTGACCGCTCAGAGCCTCCCGCTGCTGCAGCTACACCTGACCCTAGGACACGCTCTCTTCGGACAAAGGACGACCCTAGCATATTCACACCGGGTGGTCTACTCGGCAATAGTCATGACACGCGCCGTAGAGCTGACTCGTCAGCTACTCAGGCTTCTAGTGTTCGCGACCGCGAGCGTCATCACCACCAATCGTCTAATGGCTCGTTTAAGGGTCTGAGTGCGGCTGTTGATAACGAGGCCCCGTGGTTCCCGTCCGCAAGCGAACATACAGCTCAACAGCGGACCAACTCCATTCGCGAAGGCACCCCGTCTTCGTCGCGGCCGCAGTCGACCGAAGACATTCCACTGGGACTTCAGTTCCCGCAGCTTCTCCAGCAGCAACAGCAGCAACAGAGGCTCGAACGTGATGCCTCCATGAGCCGCAGCCGGTCCGTTCGTCGTACCATGGCAAGCACTGCTGCCGCGTCCCAACAGCCATCCGCGCCGCCTGTGCCACCAAACATGCCGGCCCCTCTGATTGATCTGACACCTAAGTTCAAGGAGGCACCACAATGGTCCAAGGAGGGCAAAGGTCACGGCGTGCGTGCACCTGTGGGCACCGCCCACCTTGTTGACCTGGCCACAGACAGTAAAACGCGGATGACTGATACCATACGTGTCAGCCAGCAAGTTGTCGGTGGTGCCGTGCCGCCACCATCCAACGCAAATCTGCTTCGCCGGGACCAGCCTCACCAGACACAGTCCAAGTACCATAGCAGCATGTCAGGCAACAACCCTGCGAGTCGGTCACAGACCATGACTACCTCATCAGTTGCTGTCGCTGCTGGATTTTCGCGGAGCCGCAGCTTGGCGCAACATGGCAGCCGTGCGACTCGTGGCGGTGGACATGGCGGTACTGGAAGCAATGCACCGCCGGTCCCATTGCTGTCGCTTATTCCTGGTGGAGTGCCGTTGCAAGAAGGCGCCGCGTCGGCACCGACCAGTCGCGATCGCAGCGCTGCGCTAACTCGAAACTAGTAAAATAATACGACCTATCGAGACGACTTAACTCGATCGTATTTGTTTGACATTTACAATCTATATTTGTGGACTTTTGGATAAGGCTGCGAACAGCCAAGGATGGCATTACTTTATATTTTTAGCGAATGTTACGAGAACAAAACAAAATAAATGGATGAATTGAAGCAAACAAATGACTAATTTTGGGTTTATTGCTTTTTTTGACCTAGCTCCCTGAAGCATGTGCCATACGGGTTTTGTTGATCGGCGCTGTTTGCTACCGCTCTAAGAAATCTGCACCGGAGGACGTCTTTGCACCGCCCACCCCTTCCAACGCAGGTAGTTTATTTGCTGCGCTTGTAGATCTTGGACAGGAACGTCTCGAAGACGGCCTTCTTCAGGCCCTTGGACTCGTCGATGCCGCCAATCTGCGTGCGCAGCTCGCCCACCACCTTCTCCTCGTAGTCCAGGTAGCGCTGCTCCAGCTTGAGCTCGTTGAACAGTACCTTGACGGCAGCCTCGCTGTTCTTGTCCTTGCGGCCGTAGTGCTGCTCGAGCACGGCGCGCTGTTCAGGCGTGGCCAGCTGCAGCGCCTGGTTCACGAGCCACGAGCACTTGTTGTCCATGATGTCCGTGCCGATCTTGCCAATGTGCTCGGGCAGGCCGAAATTGTCGAGGTAGTCGTCCTGGATCTGGAAGTACTCGCCCATGGGGATTAGGATGGACTCGGCCGTCTTGAGGTTCTCGGGCGTGCCGAGCTCGAGCATGTGCAGCGCCAGGGCCACGGGCAGGTAGAAGGAGTAGTACGCCGTCTTGTAGATGACAATAAAGCGGTACTTGTCCATGCTGAAGTTGTCTAGGTTGACCTTGTCCTCCGGCGCGGTCAGCAGGTCGGCCAGCTGGCCAATCTCCGTCTGGTAGGTGACTTCGTGGAACAGCTCGAGCAGGTCGACGTAGGCCGGGTGCGACTTGAAGTGCTCCTTGAGCAGCGTGTAGATGGCCGACTCGAGCATGAACGCGTCGTTGATAGCAATCATGCCGACACCCTCGTGGCGGTACCAGCAAGGCTTTCCACGGCGCGTGATGCTGCTGTCCATGATGTCGTCGGACACGAGGAAGAAGGCCTGCAGCAGCTCGGTCATCCAGCCAAGCGTGGCAGCCTTGAAGTACTCCTCCTCAGTCAGGGCTCGCCCGAGCAGAATCGACACCGAGTCGGGCACGGACATGCCGCGGTTGCACTTGCCGCCAACGGCATTGATCTCGAGACTCTTCTTGTACCAGGCGAGGTGCTCGGCGGGTAGGTTGTACTTCTGAGCGTGGGCCAGGAGGGTGGCCTCGAGCTTGGGGAAGATCGCCTCAAACTCCTTCAGTGTCGTTCTTTGCGCCATTGTAATGATTGTGTGGGGTATCGTTGTGTAGAAAGTTGGTGGGCTGGAAGATCTGGACAAGAGGTCAAACGAGTCAAGGTGTCGCCCTTAATAAACAACGTTGTCGGTACCGGTGGCGGCGAGAACGCGAGGACTGTTGCTATTCTTCAAGTCGAATTCGGAGCAAAGGAGGTGAGTTATTCTGTGCACAAGGATGGCTAATTAAGGGTCCCAGCTGTTGGCAGGATTGGCAGGATTGGCCGTGGTGGCGGTGGGGTTGCACCTGCTTGGCCAGGGGCAAGGTACAAAGGCGGTGTGACCATTTGACAAGCGGGGCGAGATGGGGGAAAGAACGGCATAATAGGCGCTCGTGGTGGTGGGTCCCGTCGTAGCTTCCTGCAACAGTTCGACACGGTCGACGCGCTTGCGAAAGAGGAAAGAGCAACCGATAACAAGGGAGGCTACGGCATCACGAACACAACAAATGCGACGAGGTCCAAATTCTTGAAGATTATCGAATAATCAGCTCCAGTTTTTGCGTTAACTCATTGTCGCATACAACAAGACGGCCAGCTAGTGCCCACGCGACTGCAAGATCGCCTGACAACATACCCATCTGATCACAGTGTGTGTCCACCACCATCGGCCATTGGGAAGAAGACAAAAGTAGCGACCGAACGAAGAATTCGTCAGCTACCAAGGCTCGACTCTACCCGGCATACTGTTATTTTGACTTCAAAGTCCTTGACACCGGGTCCGGTGTGAGCACCAATGGCCCTCAACAAGCAGGAGACGCTGCAGCTGAGGTCTGCACTGCAGGATGCCGTCGTCAAATGCTCTGAGCGCTGTCTATATCAATCGGCTAAATGGTACTTACATTTCATCTTGCCTACCTTGCATCTTTCGTATCAAACGACTAACAATCTAGGGCTGCCGAACTCTTGACGTCCATCCCTGAATCGGCCGTCGACAACACGAACATCAACCTTCCTCCGTCGGCGACTCCTCCACCACTGCTCGTCACACAAAATGTCGACCCCGCGGAAGCGCGACTCGAGGCCGCCGAGATTAACAAATACCTGCTGGCCAAATCGTTCTTCGACTGTCGCGAGTACGACCGGTGTGCCGCTGTGTTCTTGCCGGACTCACTGATGGCGGGTGTGCTATCGTCATACCGCCAGAACCACCCGGACCTCTTTGGGGACAGCCCGGCACCTGCTTCTACGGCGGCAGGTGGCCGGGGCAGCGGAAAGCTGGACCAGTCCGGGAGCTTCACAGACAAAGGTGGCGGCGGCGGTCGCGGCGGCCAATCGCACGACGCCGACGCACCAATGTGGGCTCCGTTTGAAGACGCAGTGCCCGTGGACGTAGGTAGCCTGCCGGAGCTCAGCCAAAAGAGCCTGTTCCTCGCGCTGTACGCCAAGATGATTGCAGGCGAAAAGAAAAAGGACGAGGACGTGGAGATGGTCATGGGCCCGCAGGACACGGGCGACGTGGTCAACCGCCAGCTGCAGGTAATTAGTGCGTACCTGCAGACGTGGTTCGACCAGAACATGGTGGGGATGGACGAGGACGAGGAGCGAGTCGTCAGCCAGGGCTGGCTCGAGTACCTGTACGGCATGGTGTTGGCCAAGGAGAAGAACGAGAAGGAGGCCATGGAGTGGTTCATCCGCAGCGTGCACCGTTTTCCGATGAACTGGGGCTGCTGGCAGGAGATGACGATGCTCCTGTCACGCGTGGACGAGCTCAACAAGATTGCGCCGCGACTACCACAAAACATTGTGTCGTTCATTTTCCACCTGCACGCCTCGCTCGAGCTATACCAGCAGGGCCACAACCTGGCGGCATCGGTCGAACAGCTGCTGTCCATCTTCCCCAACTCGTCGTTTTTGCTCACATGCAATGCGCTGCTAGCCTACCACAGCAAAGACCTGATGGCTGCCGAGCAGCACTTCAGCACACTCCTGGCACAGCATCCGCACCGACTCGACTCGCTGGACCACTACTCCAACATACTGTATGTTCTCAACATGCGGCCCAAGCTGGCTTTTTTGGCGCACCTTTGCCAGAGTCTGGATAAGTTTCGGGCGGAAACGTGCGTGGTGATTGGCAACTACTACTCGCTCATGTCGGCACATGAGAAGGCTGTGCAGTACTTCCGGCGGGCGCTTGTACTCGACCGGTCGTGTCTGTCGGCATGGACGCTTATGGGCCACGAGTACGTTGAGCTCAAGAACACGCACGCGGCCATTGAGTCGTACCGGCGGGCGGTGGACGTCAACAGGCGCGATTACCGTGCGTGGTACGGCCTGGGACAGACGTACGAGGTGCTCGAGCAGCATACGTACGCGCTGTTCTACTACAAAAAGGCCGCGGGCCTGCGGCCGTGGGATGGCAAGATGTGGATGGCGGTTGGTTCGTGTCTGCAAAAGATTGGCCGGCCGCGCGACGGCATCAAGGCGCTCAAACGCGCCCTCCTGGCCGATGCCAACTACGAATCAGCGGGCGGCCCTGGCGGCAATGGTGGACGAGGTGCGGCGCCTGGCTACATGGACCCGGAAATCTTGCTGCAAATCGCCTTTATGTATGATCACCTCGACGACCACGAAGAGGCCAAGTCGTACATGGAGCTCTGCATGGCGCAGGAGGAGGGCGAGCAGGATTTTGCGGGCGGCGGCGGCGGTGGTAACACGAACCTGAGCGACTCGGTGGCTCTGCACCGGGAGTCCATGGGTGGGTCCGGCGCGGCACCCGATGACGACGACTACGACGACAACGGCGGCGGCGGGGGAAGCGGTGGTGGAGGCAACGGTAACGAGGGCACAGGCGTCACACCAGCTACAAGCAAGGCACGTCTATGGCTCGCGCGGGCGGCCCTGCAATCTGAAGAGTACGAGACGGCGATCATGCTGGCGTCGGAGCTGTGCCTCGACGGCGTCGAAGTGGAAGAGGCCAAGACGTTGGTACGGGATGCCAAGGCAGAATTAGAGAGACAGCGGCGGGAGGGAGGGCAGGGAGATACAACGGCCGGTGACGTGGGCATTCATGCATATGCAGGCAGCTAGAAACGCCGGAGCATGTCGCGGGCACAGCGGGCGTTGGGTTTGATACGGTCGCCTCTGTTTTTTGAGCCGCACGGAGGGCGACGGCTTCGGCGGTAGTAAGGAAAGGGTGTGCTAGGTAACGAGTCACGACGGGCAGCGATGGGCAACGATGGGCAACGATGGGCACACAAATGGCATCAGTTTGGCGTTTTGGTCAGGCAGGTTCTATTCATTTGGCATTGCAAAGTGTAGAGCAATCAATATATTTGTTTTTATCGTATTGTCTCCAAGTCAACTCCTTTTTGCCTCCTAATTTTTACAAGCTTTGTTTGTATGCGAAAGAGTGTAAACAAAAGGGGTAATTGTAATTGTAAGTATACTAAGGAGCAGTAATACTGTAGAAAAGAGAAGATAAGAGAAATAGAGAAGAAGAAAACAATAGAAAGGCTACAAATAAAGATATAATAAGAAGGAAGCAACACATGATAAAAAATGTCCCCAAAAGATCGATTGATCCTCATTTTCGTCTAAAGTACCTGGAAAAGCGAAAGAGAATCGGAGTGCGAACTTGAGAGGGGGGGGGGATAATACGACGGTGAAACAGAAAACAAAAAAGAAGAGTGTACCCAAGAAGTGGTGTCCCGTTCCCACCCCTTTTTTTAATCATCCGCTTCACCATTCTTCTTGTATCCCCCACTCCCCCTTTCCTCCTGAGCTCTACGAGATCTGCAGAACCATGGGGCCAGCAACGATAATGTCGTCCGTAATGACACCCGTTAGCGGCGCCTGGGTCACCAGGTTGACGTATGCAATGCCTGCCAACTCGCCCTGGCCCGGGATGGTGCAGCCCGTTTCGGGCGAAAAGGCCGAAAAGGCGGTGCCGCCCGCAATGTTGCCGTTGGTAAAGGAACAGAACTGCGCCGTGGACGAGGCATTGGACTGGAGCTGGATGGTCTGGCCAATGGCGGCGACGGCGGTCTGGCCGGCGGCCATGGTGAGGGCGGGAAAGGCGGTCAGGATCAGGTTGGAGCCCTCGGGGCAGGAGGTGATGAAGGGCGCGGCGAGCGAGAAGACCTGCTTGGGCGACAGGGCGGTGTCAAAGGCACCCGGGGCGGCGGCGGCGGCGCTGGCAACGCGGACAAAGGTCTGGTGACGGGCCTCGACGGTCAAGATGGAAGCGGCGGTCGAGAGAATGGAGCCGTCGGAAATCAGTGGGCCGCCGCCCAAGTAGGCGGAGACGCCGACGTTCTCGAGAACACCGGCGGTGGCGACCATGGACTTGGCGTCTGTGAAGCCAAAGTTGTAGGTGCAGGGCTCGACGGGCTTGACGCCTGCCTGGGCGATGGCGGACTGCAGCAGGGAAATGTGAGCCTGTTCGCTGGAGCCGATGCCGATCAGATCATTGACTTGCTGTTGTGTCAGGCCGAGGGCGGTGAAGTCAGAGGCCGGGAACTTGGCGAAGCCCTGCTGGTAAAAGGTACCCTCGAGCCATTCGAGCGTGAGGGCACTTGTGCTGTTAGGGGAGACCAAATACATTTTTATATAAAAAAAAAGGCGAGTGGAAGGCTCACAATTGCAGAATGTCAACATCCGTGAGGCCAGCGGCGGCTGCTGCGGCGTTTTGGCGCTTGCTGTACTCGTACATCTTCACTTGCGAGGCGCTGAGCCGGGGAACCGATGGTAATGCGGATGCGACGGTGACGAGGCCGGCCACGAGGCCTGCTGTCTTGATGAAGGAAGGCATTATGAGGGTTTGTTGTCGATGTCGTGTTGAGTTTCGGGGTTTATTGGATTTTTATGTCGTGAATCGTAGAAAGCAAGACCAGCCTGATTTTGTTGCAAAGATGCTGCCCTCCGGGGTGCACACTCTGAAAAGTATTAAAAAGGTAATTTTAAAAAACGCGGCGAATAAAGACTGTGGTTGTAAAAGAGTGAATAAACAAAACGATGCCCAGGAAAGCCGACCAGCGCTTTGGGGTTCTATAAAGGAAGGGAAAGTGAGGGGAGGAAAAGAAGGACGATGATCGGAAAACACAGAATGTCGTGAGATGAGAAAAGGAAGGAGAGTAACAGGAAAAGAAAGAAAAAAAAGAGGGAAAGGGGAGAAAGAAAAGAGAAAAGGGAATAGAGAGGAAAGAAGGGAACAAGATATGGCTCAGAGAGTGGAACAAGAAAGGTCTCTCCCCTACGTGGAGACTTACAAACCCAAAAAAGCCAAGACCGGAAAGGGGTACTGAGGTCCAACCGGTACGGGGGAGGTACAATATGACCATGCAAAGGCAGCAAACGAGGGACAGGGGTCAAGGGGAGACGAGAGAACAAGAGACGATGGCAGCCAACAGTGAATATGGTGCAAGCGGCTGCTCCTCGATCCGAGAAACGGCTTCCCACTGCTTGGCACAGGCCTGTTTTGCGACAGTTGACAGACTGGCGCAAAGATGGTACGGAGATGGATAAACAAAAGGCGGGTCTGCTTCTGCTGGCAGAAGGCAGTCCTCTGTATTGTGTCCGCGCAACACGTAAAAGGTACAGCGCTCTGGTAATGATGGCTCGGAACAGGTGGCTTGCGGGCTGGGGAGCCAGGTTGCGCAATGCATGGGGGCCAGAGGCAGCAGGCAGGGAAGAATGGAAGAGGGCGCTCCCGAGAAAGTGTTCCAGGGTTGCCAAGAGGAGGATGAAGGGCACAGAGTCGAGTCCGATTGAGACCAGATTTGGTTGCCAAGAGGAGGATGAAGAGCACAGAGTCGAGTCCGATTGAGACCAGATTTGAGATGGCAGGACGGGCAGGCGACAGATCCCTGCAGTGGACATATCTACGAAGAGGCGAAACGACGCCGAGAAACTACGTTGGCGATGCCGTCGTTGGCGTTCTTGTTGAGGCTCGTGGCTGTGAGGTTGTTCGTGTAAGTGAGGTCAGGACGTGGCAGTGGGCCAATCAGAAGCCAGTGAAACACGAAACACTGAAAACCCCTTCCCCCTTCCGTTCCTACCCTATGTAAGATAGGTGCAACTGCGCTTTGGGACGAAAGAACGTGTAGAAACGGGGCTCGGACGACGAATTTACGCTGTAGCTAGCTGTCGTACCTGCCTAAAAGAAGGTTTCTGGTTCCTTCCCTTTCTAATTTCATTTGGGTTGTCCGTGTGTGCCGTACTCCGTAGGGCAAGCACGCTTCAGAAAAAGAAGCTTCGATGCGGGGGTGCTTCAAAACAAGGAGGGCACGGGTAGCACCTTCCCTTATCCACTTTTTGTGACTCGGAACGGTTTCAGCGCAGTTTCGGGCGCGCGGACTGTGTGCAAGCCGGCGCAGAAGCTCTTGGGTGGAATACGAATCAAGCGAATGTGTAAATCAGCTTTCGCGTCAGGATAGTGAGGAGTGTTATTGCCTAAGCATGGCGCGATAGTAGGAGGTGCTTAGGTGGTGCTTAGGAGGCAATTAACACAAAGTAGCAGTCAGCCAGGTAGGAGACAAACAGGGGAAGGAGCGATGGGAACGCAGAAAGAGAACAAGCAACATCATATTGCATCGGAGGGCCGATAGAGTCCTAACAATACATCGTAAGAGGCAGGCTATTTCCTTTCGCATGGCGGTGCACTCCGTACTTTTGTGCGTTCTCGGTCTCGACTTAACGACGGACAGCTGCAGAAGCATGGCAAGGGACTGTTGTGCAAAATGGCAAACTTTATTGGAATGCCGCCAGCTCGACCACATTTCGGTACATCGGAACTTTCAGCATGTTTCTCTGTTTCCATTGTCCAAACGCACCTTCATAGGGTGTGTTTTTGTTGCGATGTCGTGACAGGTTATTCCACTTGTATCTGCAAAAACACCATGTCTTTCTCGTAAATTGAAGGACATTTGTCGGAAACATTGTCAGCATTGGCAGTTTTGGCATGTCCTTGCATGTTCCCACATAAATGGGGATGGATGCTCTGCTTTCCGTTCCATCAGGAAGATATTAATAGAGAAGATGATTGCCCGTAACATAGATAAGCTCGGGAGCCGAGCCGACAAGACCAGGGCCCTTGCAGGCCAGATGAGATGTTCAAAAAATGGAGACAGGATATGCCCAGTTGATGGTCCACAGCGGCGGACGGGGTGAGGAGGAGGGTGCATCACAAAGGGAGGACGCCATGTTTGATATAGGTGGAGTTTCATACTGGTTGCCATCAGAAGTACCAGCGAAAGCAACTGGGATGCAAAGCACAGGGTGGCTGTCTAGGACTAGGGCGTTGTCTGCAAGTGAAGTGTAAGCGGATTGGGAACAGACCTGTGTCATGGTATCAAAGAGCAGATATAATGCATATAAATTTTGTCTTATTTAATCAGGGTTGTTTCCTTTGAGATAACTCACATGGTTTAATTCTTATTCTTATTGTCTTTAGTTAATTTTTTTTTAATGTAGAGTATCTAGACATTATGTTTTACAAATAAGAGAACGACCACAGGCAGTGTTTGCTTGAATACATAATAACGAATACAACTACATTCAATGCGTATAAACAAATATCAAAACATTAGACGATGCATTCGCAGCCTTGCAGACACGTGTTGGTTTTCTTGGCACTTGCTTTTGTTACGTCCCACACTTCAATCGTAAGTCGTGCTGTAATGATAAAAAAGCTATACTAAACAAAGCCGGAGGTCGTATCGAGAAGCGGTCCATTTGAAGCTTATGCCGCGACCCGACAAGCTCAATGCCATTTTGAATTCGGAGCTCTGGGCGACGATGAAGACCTTGAACCCGCCTCTTTTGCATTCTTCAAGTGGGAAAAGTGTCGATCATCTGTCGCATCGACATCGTTAGTTCTGAGGGTTTGACACAGCACTGACGCTCCGGCTAAATAATGACAGACAAAGAACGACCGGAAGGAACGGATGGCTGCACAAGCTGCATCTGAGAATGTCTTTGGAGACAAATGGATAGGAAAGCGTTTCATTTACTTCACGATGATTGAAAAAACAGCAAAAAGAGTCGACGGTCACGCACATATTGTGAAAGTCGTCGCTGCTCATGAACACAAGACAAGCATCAACATACGAGCATCTAACCATCCAATGCTCGTTGGGTTGCCGAATATTCTTCCTTTATTGAGTTTGCTTTCCAATAATAGAAAATGAAAAGGAGCATCGGGGATATCCAAGACGGCATGCTCTTTTCCGCACGTGTCATGTATGCAGCATGCCTTGAAAGCGAGTGACTCTGCGGATGTGCTGCGCAAGGCTTGTCGCTGTCTGCTAAACAGCAGAAGGGTATGTGAAGTTTTGTTCTTTCCAGTACGACGAACGCAGTCACGTGTTGAGTGACGGGTGCCAGTCTGAAAAGCAAACAGCAAGAATGGCAAGCAAAAAACCACATATTGCAAAGGCATATAAAACAAAAAATAGAAAGAGATACAATCAACTAAAGCACTTGCAATAACCAGAACTCAAAATTCGCATCAACTAGATCACCCACAGCGGATATGCCCGCAAGGACAGCGACACCAGTAAACTGGGGCCCAGGCACACGTGTAGCACACATTATCTTCACCTCTTGCTTTTGTATTTTCGATTCGCCCCTATAGTGTTTGCTTCGGTGGCGTTCTGGTCTAGGACGTTGCACGACTGCACATCTCTCCTTACAAAGCGTAAGGGTTGACGGAGCGGATCGTCAAGCACCTGGAAAATATGAATGTTAGCAGATGAAATAAACATGAACACGGAAAGGGACGACAACATACGGTGGGCTCTTGCTAAGATCCGTCTTGAGGATGATGGGCACACGCGTCATCTCCGTTACATCTTGGATGTACTCGCCATCCTCCTCACGCAGACTGAACAGCTTGAGGTACTTCTCCTTGTCCGTGAGGCGGGACTCGGGTGACTCCGACGCAGGCACGCGCTCAGACTGCGCACGCTGGAGGGCGGCGTCCGCGCCGCCGCCGACCTCGGGACGCGACGGCGAGCCAGGAACGCTCTGCGTCGGGCGCTCGGCAAGCGACGCGCCAGCCATGGCCTCCGTAATGTCCGAGCCGTTATCCTCGTCATCGTCAAACAGAGCGTCCGTGTCGTCCGTCGAGATGGTGCCCGTGTCAATCTGCTTGCGAGCAGCCTCCTCGCGCTCATGGCGCTGGCGCTCAGCCTCCTCATGCTGCTGTTGCGCGTTCGCAGCGTCTCTGATGCGCGTCGACGGGCCAGACCGCACACGCTCGTCTTCGGGAACGTACGACGAGCTGGTCACACCTTTCTCCCAGTACAGCTCCAGAACGCGCTTGTCCTTGCGGAATTCAGCCTTCTTCAGAGGCAGCTGGTCGCAGTGCACGCGCTTCTCAAAGCCCCATTCGGGAATGAGCACGTCAAAGGCCGACTCGTACACGCAGAGGACGATACCTTCGGAAATCAGGTCGCCGTGCGTCTCGAGGCGCTTCTTGTCCATGATACGGCACGAGTCAATATGCACGCTCTGCTCCTGCGCGTTCTGCGCCGAGTCCTTCTTGACGTTGCAAGAGTCGACCGTCTTGGCCAGGGTATCGTCCTCGAACGAGTCGGGATTACCAGACAGCACCGCAAGAAGCTGCCGCTGGACAATGATGTCGACAACTCGGCGTGTGGGCGCCGTGGAGTGCGTGTAAACGGGCAGATTGAGACCGTAGTGCATCCATTCTTGCCGCGACTTGCCGCCGCAAACAAAATACTTGGCGCGCTGCATCGACTTGACCAGGGATGTCTCCATGCCCTTGCGAATGTCTGCATCCTCCACCTTGAATAGACTGTTTTGAAGCGTCCCGCTCGTGGTCGTGTCAATGTCGTAGCCCAGAGCGGTCAGGCGCTCCACAATCGTTTGCAGGCGCCGGGAGTTGGGCTCCGCATGCCGGCGCAGCAGGGCCTTTTGGGGAAGGCCCTCGGCCAGCAGCTTTGCGACGTGCGCGTTGACCTTGTGCATGAGCTCTTCGACCAGCTCTACGGCAGGAGTGGTGTCGAAAATGTTGTGCTCAATAGGGATGTTCTCATCATCGAGCTGCTGCACCAGACGCAGAGGGGCCACCGGCTCACCGGCCGAGCCTAGTCGTGCCTCGCGGAACTTGTCGGTCACTAGGCGCAGGATTTGAATATCCTTGGCGGATGCCGCGTTGTGCTCGAATCCGTTGGCGTTGGCCAGCGCCTTGTTCATGCTGGCAAGAGACAGCTTGCCGTTGCTCTTGATGACACTCTTACCGACCCAAATGTCCTCGTCGGCGGCAACGCCTGTGTGTGCATCGACCTGGACGACGACACTGAGCGTGAGACGGTCCTCGTTCGGCAGGAGCGAGCACAGGTCGGTGGCCAGACGAGGTGGCAGCAAAGCACACGTACGGTTCAGCAGGTGCACGCTAGTTCCACGCTTCTTAGCCTCGCGCTCGACCAGGGAGGCGGGCTTGACAAAATGCGCGACGTGGGGAATGTGGACACCGATTTCAATCTTCCCGTCGGTACCAGACTTCACGTGCACGGCATTGCCAAGGTTGGGTGTGCCATCCAGGTCAATCGTGAACGTCTTCTCGTCGCGAAAATCGCGGCGTTCCTTCATGTCCGCTTCGTCCTCTTTGCAGGGGCCAGAGGTGCCCCAGTCAGCGTGGATGCTGCGAAGAACAGCGTCGGAGAATTCGTCCGACGCAAAGTTGTTGTCCCGTAATAGTGCGTCGGTCTCGGTCTGAACATCGCCCATGTGGCCCAGCAGCTCGACCAGGGTGCCAAAAGGATGCAGCGACGTAATCGGCCAGCGCTTGATGCAGGCAACAAAGATGCGATCAGCGTAGTCTTGGTGTTTTTCAACAAAGTCGCGCGGCGCCTGCTCTGTTGGGATTGCAATCAGCGGCACGCGCTTGTCGGTTGGTTTGAACCACACAATCTTGGGCTTGTCCTGGTTACGGTTGTCGCCGTGGCGTGAATTGTTGCGGTCTGCATCCTGCTTGTCCTTGGTGGCCTGGCTGCTCGGGCGCAGCAGGCCGAGCGTGCCGGAGAACATCTGACCGGCAATGCGCTCCACAACGGCAACGATGTGGCCGGCAAAGAGCGGCTTCTGTTCGTCGTTGATCTCTTCTTCCTCGACAAGCAGCAGACTCTGGCCCTCGACTTCGACGTCGTCGTTCTTCTTCTGGGTCGGGCGCTGGCGGAGACTACCACGACGGCGGATGCCACCGTCGCTGCCGTTGTTGAGACTGCCGCCACCGTTGCCGATGCCGGAGCCGTTGTTGCCTTCGCCATTACCGTTTGTTGAGCCAGAGCGGGTATCTGTGATGTCCTTGCGCTTCTTCTTCTCTTCCTTCTCACGCTTCTGAGCCCAGACCTCGTCGACGTCAAGCAGCTCGACCGCAACAAGATCGCCTTCAAGGGCACGGTTCCGATCTTTGCTTCCGCAGATGAAGATATCCGCCATCAGGTCTGCCGTGGTCACATATGCATCGCTGCGATTCTTCTTGTTGACACGAAGAATGCCTTGCACCAGTGCACCGTTCTGCAAGAGAGGGGGTAGGGTGGCCTGGGGCATGTACGGAGTGAACAGGGTCTTGCGCTGCTGCTGCTGTGCCTGGTTCTGCTGCACTTGTCCTTGGGCAGCGTGCTGGCTGTTCTGCAGACCGAGAAACTGCTGGGCATTGATCTGCTGCATGGCCTGGAGCTGGCCGAGCTGCATGGGGTTCAGCTGATTGAGCTGCTGCTGGCCAGGGAAGGCACCCGGGATCATCATCTGGCCACCTTGTAGCTGCAGCAGTTGCGGGTATGCGCCAATGGAGCTGATTGACTGGCCGCCGCCCACAGAAGCACGCGAGCGATGGCCCGGTTGAAAGCCCTGCTGAGGTTGCTGGGGTTGCTGGGGCTGCTGCTGAGGCTGCTGAGGCTGCTGCTGGCCATTGTTGCTACCGTCTTGAGCTGCTGCCGGGTTGCGCCAGTTGCTATCAAAGTTGCGCGAGTTGGTGCGCGCATGGCTGCCGCCACCGCGGCGCTGGAAGTCATGTGTTCCGCTGAGCGACTCGGCCTGGTAGTTGCCCATGCCGCCGCGACCTAGGCCACCGCCGCCACGACCGACCGCCATACTTTGGCTGCGACCATGGGCGGATCCGCGGCCACGGGATGCCACGGCAGGAGGGGGAGTCGGGTTGCTCTGGCTGTCCACGACGACATCTCCCTCGGGCTTCTCGCTACCAGACGAAGTGGAGGCAGCAGCGGCGGCACCAGGAGCAGGGAACTGAAAAGCGGACGTAGTGCGCTTTTGTTGGGCAATCTCGGCCGCCTTGCGAGCGTCGGCAACAACGAGCGAATGGCGACGCTGGTGCCCACCACCAGCACCGCCACCACCCCGACCGGTACGCGAGCTCGGGCCGCCACCCTCTCGGGCGTGGGCTGGGCTTTCAAAATTACCAAAGGTAGAGCCAGAGGCGCCCGACGATGGGGCCGGAGGCGGGCCCATTCCCATGTTAGGGAGAGCCGACTGATTACGGCGATGTGAGTGGGTCTGCTGTGGAATACCCGCGTTGACGTTTTGTTGCGGTTGCTGCTGCTGCTGTTGCTGCGGCAGCTGAGCCGGGAATTGAAAGCCGGCCTGTGGCGACATGTTGAGAGCGGGCTGCATGGGAAAGGCACCGCCTGCGCCAAGGCCTTGGTTTGGGATCATGCCATTTATGGCATACTGTTGAAGCTGCTGCTGCTGCTGTTGCAGAAGCTCAATCTGCTGCTGGAGCATAGCAGGGGTCACTGTAACGAATACAAAGTAAACAGTTGTTAGCTTCGGTGGAGATGCTGTGAGCTATTTTGGGCGAGGTAGTCGAGGTAGGGGGAGGTCGGAAGGGGTAAACAGAAGGGGGACAAATGGGGAGAGAGATGAGACATGTGTCAAAGCGCTGTAGGCAGTTCGGGGGGGTTTCGACCACAACAAACTCGTCGTCACGGACAAAACGAAAAGGACAGACAGAGACGCATAGGGTGCATCGGAGGGAATGACAACAGGATACGTACTGCTTTGGTTGGTATACAGGCTGACGAGCGGCGTCATTTCAGACGGACTCCGTCGGTGTGCAATATGTAAGCGGCGGCCAGTCGGCCCGGGGACGCCCCCAGCGAGCGGGTTGTTCTGCTGCTGGTCCATGACGCTGATGTTCTTGAATACGCGCAGCTCGAAGCTCAGTAGCTCAAGTGAATACGGACTCGGATGATGATAAGCTAACGATGCACTCGGTAAGGAGGGTGGTCGTTCAGACGATTGGACGAGGTGGCGGTACTCGAACTGGAGGTGGGATGGAAGGCAAAAGGCAGGCGGTCGAAGCTAGGTAACGATGCAAATAAAAATGCGGTGATGCAATAGACAAAGATAGAACAAGTTCGACGATTTTGAATATCAAACGGGGTGAGCTGTCGTTGGGGATAGCTGACGATATGGACGATGCGAGAAAGTGGATGTTGCAACACAAATGTCTTTTTGTGTGATGATAAAATTGTGATCCGTGGACAGAGGATCGATTAGCTTAGGGAAATGCCAAGGAGACGGACGGATCCAAGGTCAAACGAAGCTGGAGAATTGAGGATGGCGATGCGAGGCAAACGGCATATGTGCGGATGCGGATGGTGGACGGACAGGAAGCTGTTGGCTTGAAAAGGGGGACGGCACAAGCAGCAGCCAGCGACCACGCGGCCTGAACGGACACAGCAACCGTGGTGGAGCGATACTGAGAGAGCGAAAGGCTCGGCAATGGTTGCGGAAGGAGAGACGATGGTAAAGAAGGGAAGGACTGATCAAGAAAATACGAGGAAGAGAGGGACAGAAGGAAGGCGAAGAAAACAATGCGAATATGGAGAAAAGGAGAAAAGAAGAAGTGGGAAAGAGCAAAGGAGAAATAATATGGTGATGCTTGGAAGGTGTGATGGAGACGTCGTTGCCCCAGCTCTCGTTTTTTGGGCACCTGCTCCTCCTCCTTCTCCTCCTGGTTGCCCTACTCCTTCCTTCTTCTCGCCTCTTCTCCCTGGTTAGCGACTGTTGGCAGTCTTGTGTGGGTGTGGGAGTGGGGCCGTTGCTCCTTGTGCGGGCACCTGTGGGCTTCTGCTGCGGGCCTGGACAGCGAAGTCAATGCCGTAAACTGCAAACTGCCCCGCTTTTACGCAGCTTTGGCCCTGTAGCAACGGCGCCTGTTGACCGCCCGGCAGAAAATCGGCCTCGAGACTTTGCGTATACGAGCTGAGGCAGGAGTGCTGGAGTGTTGGAGCGGCTTCCGGATGCCCCAGTAATCGACAAGCGATAGCTCATCATTACTATTCTCCGGGCCAGTCGAAAATTCGTACATCGTCGTTGGACATTGAGCGACTCCTTTAGCTTTAGCGGCAGCTGCAGGGTAAAGGGTCTGTAAGGCGAATGAGCTCTTTCCTGACTGAGTACTTGTTGGGCGCAGGCATTTGCAAGCATCAACCAGGTACAGAATATTCTGTATTAATTGCCCTTATTCGAGAATTTAGAGGCGGCCGGCGCTAATTTTGGCGTACTAATACCTTTGGTAACAAGCCAACCTCAGCAGGGCCAACGCGCTAGACGGCGCGGGAAAACGACGCCGCGTCCAAGAGCCAACCAGCAAAACTCGACGGCCTCACATTTCGGTGATGTTATTGACAGCTTTGTTTTGACTTCCAACATCGCGATACACTTCGCGAGGTACTAACTGCGCGACGACTGCCCAACTGTTGACGCTCGCTTCTGTCTTTGCTGTTTTGCATTACCAATACCCAATATAGTTAACGCTAACGGTCGCCGAGCTATGAGAGAGACAGCTGGTTCCCTCTCACTTTCCGACACTTCATCTCCTTGTCTTATCTCACCTTCCTCCTCATACCCTCCCTTCTCCTCCCGGACAACACTCCCACCGTCGTCCCGTCATGGCCAACTCCTCACCACCAAGACCGCGCACGGCCAGGGCCTCTCCTGCGCCGTCGTGGCGCCAGTCTGCATATCCCATGTCCGACCCGCCCGAGATCTCCGACTTCCTGCTCGAGTCGCGCAATTCGCCCGAGGCGCATCGCCGCAATTACGCCGAGGCCCAGCGAGAACATGACCGCGTGCTTAAGGCAGCGTTGCATGTGTTCGATCTGCACCAGCTGGCAGTGGCCCAGCGCGAGATCGAGGATGAGGAGCGGCGGCGGAGGCAGCGCGTCGCCGAAGAGGCCAAGCGTATCGAGAAGGAACGCCAGGCGAAAATCAAGCAGCTGGAGGACGAGGCGCGACTTGCTGCACAAAAAGCTGCCCCCATACCGAAACCCGTGATCGCAGCACCGCCACCAGCAGCACCACCACCAGCGGCGGCGACACAGTCGTCATCACCGCCACTATCAACCCGACCACCAGCAGCGGCTGCCGAAGAACCGATTAAAAAGCAACAGGAGCAGGCCCCGGCCGCCCAGCCACCATCACAACAGCAACCTCCCGCGAACCCCTTCTCTAGAGGTTCGGCATCAAAGTTGAACGGAACTGCAGCGTCGTCACCGTTTGGTATGCCGTCTCCGGCTTCGGAGCTGGCGAGCACACCCCGACCTACACAGTCTCCCTCTCCGTCCCCATTCACCAACGGCACTGCTGCGGCCGCTGCACCGGCCAAGACTGCTCCAGGACCGACTGCTGCCCCTGCAGCGACCACACCCGACCGGCACATCGAGGTGCACAAGAACCTCAAGGCTCTGCGCAGGTTCGTTGCACAGCAGTCGAAGACCAATCTTACGCTGAAGAGCCGGATGGGCGATATGCGCCGGGACATTAGGAAGTCCTTTGGCCAGTTGACCAGCGGCGGTCTGCGTGAGAACCGTGTACCCGTTGCCCGCATCATCACGACGCTTACGGCAGGTTTGAAGGAAGTGCCGAGCGAATTGATGGACCCCAGCCAGTTTGTGCTGGAGCCGCGCACGCAGCCCGTTGAGGGCGCTTTTCACAACGAACCGCAATTGCCGTCCCTCTACCTGTACCTGCTCAATGTGCTGTCCAAGGCCGCCATTGCACAGTTTATTAACGAGTCGGGCGCCGACCCACGCACTGCTGAGGCCATTGGCCAGGCTGTTGTCAAGGTCTACTCGGAGGCCGAATTCCTATGGCGCGGCAAGCCAATGATTGATATGCTCATTGCCAAGTACCGCGTTGTTTGCCCGGTGCTCTTTGGCTTCCGCGGCAACGACAAGATGGAGCGTGGACGGGCCCAGGTCGGCTGGCGCAAGGAGGACGGCCGGTGGATCCCGGAGCAGTACCACATTGACCGCATGACGGGATTGGGCGCCGGGTTCGCGGCGATCACACTGCGTGATTTCTCGCGTGTCAAGCGTGAGAGCCCTTGGCCGCCGACGGTCTACTGGACGGCTCTCGCGCAGATCGTCAACACGCCGCCCGAGGAAATGTCTGAGACGCAGTGCTACGTTCTGAAGGCCATGATTGCTGACAACGAGTCCAAGTTTTTGGGCTTCTATGGAAACGCCGGTGTAGCGGCGCTCCGCAGTGCATTGGTCGACTATCCGGCACGCATTCCCAAGGCGTCGGCTGCAAGCGAAACACTCAAGGTGCTGGCAAAGACGATCAACGTAAAAACGGGATTGGATCTCGAGAACATATAGGGCGTGAAATGAGGCTCGAACGGGCTTTGAACATTTCCTTTCTTGTTTTTTATAGTGTACTTTCACTGATGCACTGCTTTCTTCTATACACGTTTTCTTGTGTCTGCTTGAATAAGGGGCAAGAACTTGCGCATTACTTGGGCGTTTGTTGTTCATTTTGATATTTGCCCTTGGATTTTGTTGTAACATAGCAAAGCACAACCATGAAGTCGTTTCCTTCGAAGCTTTGTGTTTACCTGAGTGGAAGTGTTATTTGGTTGTAGTGGCTCCTTCTGAGCAAAGAATACTTCTTTACGAATGCTATGTACATCATTTGATACGAAAGAACATATAAACATTATATGGTAACGCCGCCGACGCCAAGAATAGACATGTGTAGAACATTGACCAAAGAAACAAAATTACGAGACTTCCGTATGCTAGAGCACGAGAAGCAGAACCAGCAAAACAATCAGGACAACAATCAGCACACCGATGCAGCAGCTGCTATACCGGTCCTCGTTGCGTCGGATAATGGTTTGCAAGTTCTTCATACCCGTCTCCAACCGCCCGCCTACACGGTCCGCAAGGTTGTCCGTCACCTCGAGCATTTCGCGCTGCTCCTCCAGCTCGCGGCCCATGTCGTCGGCTTGCCGCCGCAGGTTGCCGACCGTCTGGAACACGCCGTCCAAATGCTGGTCCTGCTCATTCATCATTTGCAGTTGTTGCTCGCGCTCAAACTCAGCGTAATTGTCTGTGCCATCACCATTTTCCATGGCAAACGAGTTTGGGTCGGGCAGGTCGCCGCCAGCACCACCAGCACCTCCTGGTTGGTTGTTGCCCGACACCACGGCCTTGAGCTCACGCCGCATCTTGTCCACCTCTTCGCTCGCCTGCTGCACCACACGCTGGCGCCGCGTGACCTCGGCCGCATTGAGGCCAAACTGAGCCGGGTTGTCTTCAACGGCGCGCACGCTCTCGACGAGGTCGGCGAGGTCTTCGGCGAGCGAGGAGAGCGCGGACTCAAGATCGGCACGTGCGGCTGTGAGCTCCGGGGAGGTGGCTGCTGTCGAGAGGGAGCGGATGCGCAGGTAGGACTCAAAGAGGGGCCGTGTCGAGGCTAGCTGGGAGAGGACATCTCTACGGACGAAGGAGAGCATCGGTTAGTTCATATCTTTAGTAGCGACGATGAAGGCAGCTGAAACGTACTGTTGGACCTGGAGGAACGGGTCCTCATCATTAGGAGACGCCATTATGTTGTGCGCGTTGGTGCATTGAGCATGGTATGTGGTCGTGAAGAGAAGCAGGGAAAGAGAGTACTAAGAAACGAGTGACGCGAAATGAGTTGGATGTTCGATTTGATGCGGTGCATATCCAGGGCCAGCGACGTCGCGTGGTGGCCATTTGCGGAATGTTAGGATGACGAAGGCAGCTCGGAACCAGCGGCTGTGATTGGACCAGCCCCTGAGACTGTTATCCACTTTGGGCGATCCAGGTTCTAACCTACCGTGTAGGCAGCTCAGTTACAACGGCTCG